TTATTGTGATTAAACCATGATAGCTAGATATATGTTCTCGCGCACTTTTTTGTAGGTCTTAATGGGATCTACAAACCCGTAGTACATCATTTTGTTCTATTGTCAATAGTTTTTGCAGCGCACGCAAAAATAGGTTTTAGATTTTACACCTTGTGTTACAAAATAGCATATTTTTACGGATCCCTAATTTTGAAAAAAAAAATATAGCCTATAGCCTTCATCGATAAATGGACTACCCAACACTGAAAGAATCATTCAAATCGGACCAGTAGTTCCAGAGATTAGCGCGTTCAAACAAACAAACAAACAAACTCTGCAGCTTTATAATATTAGTATAGATGTTAAAAATTAGTCAGTTAGCTTAAAGCGCCGTCCGGCTTCGCACTCATAAAATTTACTAATGTGTGTTAATTTCTGGTTCTTTCATAATTTCTGGTGGAATTTCCATAATTTTCTTTCCGTGATCCGTCCCAGTTTCACACAGATGCTATTAAATTACATTGCATCGAAAACGTATGAGATAACAATACATTCTACCTTGATTCTGGTGAATTCTCAAAAACATTTCTTTCGCTCAGACCAAATAAAAAGTAAAGACGGAGTCTGCCGAACAAAAAAGTGAAGCCGGTTTTTTATGTATGTAGTGCTTTAGCCAGTGTTACCATAGTCATTTATAATACCCCATTATTAGAAAAATATTGGGGTATTAAAGTTACGTACACTAATAAAAGTTTAGTTAAAAAATATATAATAAAAACAAAGCTTAACCTTTGGAGTTTTTGGCGGGATTTTATGGAGTGCGGTTAGCGTTATATTTTATTTATTCTTTAATTCATTTATAGTGAATATTGTGAAATAAAATTGGTATAATTTTGTGTTTCAACCGTCTGCACGACTGAAGAATTATTGGAATCTTTAAAATATAAATTAACTTAAGTAACCATATTAAGTTAGTTGTTAAAAATACCTTTGGATATGCATTTTGTTTTACACGACGTAACCCTTTTGTTGTGTAGTACAAATCGTCGCTCTGAAAATGAGTCGAACAAACCACGCTGCGGGAAGCTGGTTGCCACAATGGTTCATTAATATTTCTACTCTTACGAATGACTGCAATCCACTTCTTTTTTAGATTTTGATCTCGATTAGGAAATCGTAAAAAAACGTATAATATATAATGTGTATTACATCCCAAAAAAATTATACGAATACATAAAGAAAAAATCAAAAAACCCGACTGCTTAATTATTTAAGAAAAAATCAAAAAACCCGACTGCTTAAATAATTAAGCAGTCGGGTTGATGTAATACACATTATAGTTATTAGTTTATTATAGTTTCAGTTTTTATTTGAAGTATAAACTTCAAATAAAAACTGAAAAGAAAAAAACAAGTCCAGTACCTAGTCTATAATTCTGTTAATAAGGAACAAAGCTACTTTAACAGTCGGGACCCATTAGATATTCAAGAATACATAATATTTTTCAACAGTGGGTCCCGACTGTTAAAGTAGCTTTGTTCCTTATTAACAGAATTATAGACTACTGGACTTGTAATTTTCTTTTCAGTTTTTATTTGAAGTATAATTAAGCAGTCGGGTTTTTTGATTTTTTAAATTTACCTTTTTTATATCACAGTTTTTAGTTAGTTAGTATTTTAAGACGGTATATTCCGTAGTCTTGTTACTTCAGTAAGGGAATTAATATCGCGGGAATTATTAAGTACCTTGCGTCGGTCTAAAAGATTGATTTATTAAGACATATAAAGACTTTACCAGCGGGGTCAAGGCTACAGATGGGCCTCAATTTTCGCAAAAATGTGTGAAGGTAAATCAAGTCGTTACATAAATATCTCTAATGTATATAAATTTTATAGTAAACTAGCACTTACTCAAAAAGTCATCTTTTGTTTATGTTTTTTTTAATAGTTTAGCAGTAAATATAAAATTCATTTACTTTTATTCGTCGACTATTTAAAATTGGCAGTGGCTGCATTGTCATGTCAATGCCGGACGTCTAAGATTGTGATATACACAAATTTAGTGTCAGTCCCTAGTCTCATAATTTGATATACCTACATAATTCACAGAAACCCAATATGTAGATGCCAGAAGTTAACTTCAAATGTTTTTAATCACCCTATATACAATACCAATCAATGACGTTTATGTCGCAGGTTGAAGAAAGAAGTAATTCCCGTCTGTTGTTTTTGGTGGCAACTGCCTTAGATCACTAAATTAAATAATTATGCAATCACCAAAGCAAAGTTTATAATATTTGATTAAACTAAAGGCGCATAATAAAATTTTCATAACGTTATGTAGAGCACCATAGCAATCTCATTTATTATCAATTTATAGTTCTCTTTGTAGTTTTCTTTTAAAGCGTTCACATTTAACAGGTCAAAGACTTTGTGTTCGACCCTTTTTTATTGGTAGTGAATGAAGAGTACTCCCAGTAGTGCAATCATGGCAATTATTTTCCAAATTTTTTTTTGTTATAAAAATACCGAATAACGTTTCACTGTTAAGCACAAATGCTAAGTAATTTTTACAAATATAATCAAATAAACCTATTAATACTTTATTTTTAAATATTTTTCATCAATTAAATACTTATCTTATCCTAACTATCTATACTAATATTATAAAGAGGCAAGATTTGTATGTTTGTAACAAATAATCTGTCAAACTACTGAACCGGTTTCAAATATTAATTCATCATAAGGTAGCTACATTATTTATTATAACATTTTTCTTTATTTAAATACATTTTGTCCGAGTGACATAGGCTATATTTTATCCCGATAAATAAATTTCGCCCGTACAATGCCCGGGTGGATCACTAGTAAGTATAATGTAATATTATAGATGCGAAAGTGAGTTTGTTTGTTGCGCTTCCGTGCCCTAATAGCTAAATCGAATTTAATGAATTGCCATATAGAAGTAGATGGGAACTTGGTTCTTAGCTACAACATCGCAATACTTATAGGCGTAGGGTGATGAAAGGGGTGATTTACCTATAAAAATCTACATTATTTACTTTGAATTTTGCATAATTATTACAAAACCAATATTATCGCGAGCTCATTAATAAATACAGGGATTCCAATAATTATGTACTTACTAGCGAAAAATGGGTTATTTGTCATTATATTAAGTAAACCTTTTTTGTAACCCTAAGTAATATCGTTAAAAAAATGAAAAACAGTAAAATTCTGAGTTTTTCATTAAAATTCAATAATCATAAATACCTATTATGATAATATATTTTTCATCATTTAATAAGAAGGAACTGTATCACAGTTTTAATGTTAGTACTTCGTATAGGATCAGATACTGCGAATACCTCATTTTTTTTTCTTTTACATAGTACACCGCGCTATCACTTTGTCATCGTTGTAACTTTTTAAATATTTGTCGAAATGACATAGTGTAAAAAGCAAAGTTTATCGTCTTTAAATATCAAAAGCGATTAAAGTATTTGTTTATAAAAAATGATTTGTTAATACAAAATGTGCATTTTGGAAATAGATATCAAATAATATTTTAGTTTTGATTCACTATTTTAGCGGTAATGACTTACACATTAAAAATAGATATATGGTGTCACGGACTTTTTTTTAGAACTATTTAGGAGATACATTTTTACTCTACATTACATTCATGTAACTTTTATTGTTTTTGCAGTGCAGGCCAAAATGGCTCGCAGATGGGACATTTTTTCCGTCTTATGTGACACTTATTGCTATATATTGGCCAATTCACTCAATAACTACTCAATAAATTATTAAGTTTCATTAAAATCCATTCAGTATTTTTGAGGTGAAAGAGTAACAAAGATCCATACAAACGTAAGATTGAAATGAAAAGCGTAAGTGGTTAATATACAACTTTAAGGCGTTGTAGATCCTAAACAATCATATAAAATGAAAAATGGTGTTAGGAACCTAAATATGATTTTTGATTATCTAGACAGTGATACCCCATTCGACATATTTAGTCAACTTTTTTTTTACTTCGTCACAATATGGCGCCTAATGTTGCCCATATTGAATTTTGATTACTATCATATTATTTAGTAGCACTCCCATGATTGAGACGAATCGATTGATGTATGAATCATCAAAATCGGTTCAGGCGTTTGGTCTCTAGTGTGCTACAAAGGAACAAACATACATATATAGACTGTTAAACACATAACCCTGTCTGCGCGTCGCGCTTCGCGCTCTTGCATTGCGCAGCCGGGTAAAAAGATAATAAAGATGTTTCGTGTAATTGTTTAGCCATGCATTACAATATTCGAATAATATAAAAGTATGCTACACAATGTATTTAATAAAATAACGTTACGTTATATTTCACGCTACCCATCAAAAGGGTAAAACTGTAACGTATAATCATGGCAGCATTTCGTTCAGGTTTAGTAGTCTATAATTACAAGTCCAGTAGTCTATAATTCTGTTAATAAGGAACAAAGCTACTTTAACAGTCGGGACCCACTGTTGAAAAATATTATGTATTCTTGAATATCTAATGGGTCCCGACTGTTAAAGTAGCTTTGTTCCTTATTAACAGAATTATAGACTACTGGACTTGTTTTTTTCTTTTCAGTTTTTATTTGAAGTATAATTAAGCAGTCGGGTTTTTTGATTTTTTAAATTTACCTTTTTTTTATTATTGTAAGATTGGTTTCTACACGTTTTCACTACAGAATTCGGCATTTTCTCTAATAAATATTGTTATTTATTATTACGTCACACTCCGCGCGCCGGGATAGCTCGACTGGTAAGCCAAGGCGTAGTTTCGTTGCATGTGTGTGCGTGTAACTGTGTATGTACACGGCGAGGCGTAGTTTTATCGGCTTCACTTTTTTGTTCGGCAGACTCCGTCTTTACTTTTTATTTGTTCTGAGTTCTTTCGTATATTCCTTCTGCTTAAAAACAAGGCTCAAACTCATATAGGTAACTCACTGTCATATCAGAATATAAATAGAGACTCACCGACTTTATCCGGATCAACGATTTTTGTGCCCAGAGATCTAATTACCATACCTCCTGTACTTGTGAAGAGATCAAACACGGGACCATTATAGAACAAATCTATGTTTGGAGCGAGCCCGTATACAATAAAAGTTAATATTCCACTCGTTGTCCCAATCATCCCCAACACACAGTCGTGCATTGACATCCATTTGCTAAATATAATAAGAGCTATAGCACTTCCTAAAAAGTTTAATATTTTGTCAATTAAATATAAATTAAAAAGTGTATAGAATATTTTAAAAGTCGGTATGCAAATGTTAGTCTGTATATTGTATTAATCCAAAATTGAACCTCCTTGAAAATTAAACCTTTAGCTCACTGACGCGACGAAACGCGTCATACGAAGAACTTATATCGCTTAAGTTTCATCTTGCTCTTTCTGTTTGTGATTGCCTATACTTCAAGATTTCGCCTACTCTAAAGTCTGGATTTCGAATGAATGAATCCTATATTTATACCAGCTTTTGCCCACGACTTTGTACGCGTTATAATTAGTTTTTTGAGAGCCCCATAGAAACCTAAAATTTATCCTAGATAAAAATTATGTCATATATCCTAATATCTATATAGCTAATATGTGTGCCAAATTTTATCCCAACCCGTGATGAGCTCGCGATACTGCCCAATAAAATGCTATACTTATTAATAAATTATACAAGACCTTTATCGACCAAATTCAGACATAATTTATATAAATCAAATAATATTTAGTTAATATTTCTTCCATTACCTATGGTAATAAAATCTATCAATCTTAGATAACAATAAATCTATGTATATAAAAAAATAATGGTTGCCTGTAAAGTCGGTTTTACGGGCGAAGATTTTACGTGACAACGTCTTTTTCTCGGTAGAATATTTATTGATATGAATATAATTAAATTGCACAATAGGAACAAGGAATTGAATGAAAATAAGAATTGCACAAATTTTAACTATAGAAATATATTTTGTTTACTAAAACATTGTACATGTAAACTTAAACTTAACACGAGAAACTCATCGTAACGTTACCGAGCGTTACACTTTTTCATAAGTGACTCCCAGCCGCAACCTAATTTAAGACGTTGTCACGTCAAAAATAGTCCTTGTTTAAGATAATCTGAAACTGTTCTTACCAACATCTGACACGATAATCGAATAAGTACTAAAGAAAATGAACTCCTTGGGTTCCATGCCATATCTGTCTTTTGCATATCTGTAAAGCAATGTTCCTGCGCCTGAAAAATATTGGTTTAAACGTTTGTTTTCAGTATAATATAAAAAAAGTTCAGCTGCATATTAAATGTAAAACGATGGTTTCAAGATTAGATTTTTTTTTGGAGTTTACTCCTTAAGAATCAATTTGCATATATAAGGGGCCTGGTATGAGAAAAATGTGAGGAGTAAAATCTATCGATGAATGACCTCGTTACGTTTTTGGTGCGCATCCTATGTCGCGCAACTTTGACAAACAAAGATGACGGATTGACATTATTTTTTTTTAACTGAACTGAATTTAGATATTGTTTCTGATAGAGCAATGGGGACAACGAGGTATGGTACAACCATTGATGCGGTATTTTCAAGATTCGTGAACCACGTATCTACGAACGTCCATGTGTCTTATTTTTTTTTTCATAATTTTTTTTTTATTCGATTATTTACAATATGTCTTTTTAATTATGTTATTTTTAATCAGATTTCAACATGTTTAATAATATACTGTCCGTGCTCGAGGCTGCTATTTGATACAGCCAGGGGCACGGGCAGAAGTCTGAAAGAGGAAGCATAGAAGGATAGTAAAGATAAAAGTAGGTATACAAGAAAATAGGGAGGTCAAAAACAAAGTAAAGAAAAGTTGAATCACATTAGTGGCGTTAAAGACTACTCGTTTGCTTCAAGTTGGCCGTCGATGGCCAATCACAGGCACATCAACTGGTACCATCGTCCAATAAGGTCGACTAATAGGGACTGTCTAAGGCGCGGTATTCTGAAGCTGGGAGGGTGGAAGCAGCCAATTCGAAGCGAACGCGTAGTGCTTTGGTTATCAAAAGTATGCGTTATTAATAGAATACAGGGTTCACTCAACACATTCAAGCAAACTCATGCACACATACAGAGAGAGATACCCACACACACGCAATCATACTCAAATGAGTCCTAAGGTAATTATTATATACACTTTTAAACTATTATATAATATAACGTAATTATAACATTCACAGAAAAAAAAAACTAAGAGCGTGCGCTGCGTTAAGCGGGACACAGAGCGGGCACCCGCTCGGCGCGCTTGCTTCATGCCATTTCATAGAGCAGCACCAGCGCTCCGAGAAATGACACAAAAAAAAAAAAACTGCACGGCGAGCGGACTCGCGCCCGACCGACGCGACGTCCCGCCTAAGGCAGCGCAGGCTTTAACAGTGCAATATTGTAATGTACATTATATTGTGATGCTAAATGCATAATTAAACTTGTAAGTATCTATCTTAGTGGGTAAAAGTCAAGACACACCAAAGGACGGTGGGGGAACAAAAAAAAAAAAAAATAGGCCCCGATTTAAGTACATATCTGTGTTGGATCGCATCTCCGGCGGCCGTGGAAAGGACGCCTTTGAACAGGCCTCGTTCGAAGCCTTAGCAAAAATTCTAATGTTGCTTCACTAACTCTGAGTATGTCTAATATATGGATATGTATTCATGATTTGGATAAACCGAGAAGAAATCTAGAAGCCTCAACAGGTATATCGTGCCGTAAACGAAGATTTCTGGTTAAAGCTCAAAAAAAAAAAACTTACAATATACGAGCTCAGTGGGAGGAAGACGGTAAAGAAGAGTTATTGAAAGATTTCAGTTTTGAGAAGATAGTTTCAACGAGTGCGACAAAAGATTTGAGCAGTTTTGGTTTCGATATAAGATCAGGAATATGAAACGGGTTAATGTTGCTGTTTGAGCATATGGCAGTATGTCTAAGTCTATTAATAGTAAATCTTGGACAATCAGTCAAAAGATGAAGAGGATCTTGTGGCGTCTGAGTGTCACATGGACATGCGCTAGATGCAGCAATGTGAAAGCGGTATAAATAAGAAAGGTGGGCACCATGTCCTGTTAAAAATTGACTAAGAAAGAATGAAGAGGAAGAGATGATTAAGAAAAAATTGTGAATCATTGTTATAGAGGGGAATAAATCTCGAGTGTGGGAGCCTTGAGCAGCCTCTTGGTATCGTTTCTCCCACTCTATGCGAATGCGAATCCTAGAAAGGCGCTTTACATATGATAATGGGAATCGGTCGTAATCAGGAGCCCTTCTCAAACCTGCAGCGCGACCGGCCTCAACATCCGCAGCCTCGTTACCTGCAATCCCTACATGCCCCCTAACCCAACAAAAACGAATATTTCCAAAAGAGTGGTGTTCGTGAATAAGTTTGTGGGTAAGTGACACGAGAGGAGTGGCGTTGTTGCGCTGACTGAGTGCGTCCAGAGACGATAATGAGTCAGTGAGAACAAGGGTATCCTCGTATTTCCTCTCCACAGCGAGGCAGCAGGCTTTGTAGATGGCATAAAGTTCAGCCTGGAACACAGTGCAAGCTTTGTGTAATTTAAATCTTTTACAAGTAACGGGAGAGGGTGAATCTGGGTCTATGCAAATATAAGCAGCCCCAACGGATTCATTCTCCAGTTTACTACCGTCGGTGAAAATTTGCACGGTATTCGGAAGGCAAGTTTCGTCCACTTTTTGTTGTCCTTCAGCAATAGAGTATTGAACAGTGACGCGATGTGCAGGGTGCAGAAGATTGGAAATGGGTGTAGGGGATTCCCACATGACGTCATCCGGCAGGAACTGAGTAGTTCGAGTTAATCTACTTCTTTCAATTTCGCGCACATGTAGCACCTCCAAATCAAGGGGTGTGAATTGTGCCAGGGCTAAGGCAGCATTAGCTGAAACCGTGCGATAGGCCCTAATGGCTCGGATAGCAAATACACGCTGTAGCGATTGTAATTTACGTCGAACAGTAACTAATTGTGCAACATGACCCCAAATACCTGCAGCGTAAGTAACTGTAGGCACAATTACGTGCCTGTAAATTGTTTCGATATTTTTAGGATGAAGGCCCCAGGAAGGCCGAACGAACAAACACATTCGCGTAAACAGACTTTGTGCTTTATCAATGACATGGTCCACATGTTTGTGAAAACGAAGGCGATGATCTATGACAACTCCCAGTAAAGTTAATTTAGTGCTATAAGGAATGATGGTGTTTAACATTGATAAAGTTGCCCTAGCTGCCTTGGAAGTAAAAGCCAAGGCTTTTGTTTTATCTGGTCCAAAGGTTAATTTGACACCTAGGCCCCAATTTGCAACCATGTCTAGAGCTTGTCGAGCATTTCTTTCAAGTGTGATGGGATCCTTGGCAGAAACTATTAAAAAAACGTCATCTGCATAAGCTTGAATACGACAGCCGGCGGGAAAGGACAGACTGAGAAGACCATCAAGGATAATATTCCACAACGCTGGCCCACAAGCAGATCCCTGGACGCAGCCTCGTTGGGTGGTAGTGGTAGCAGTGACACCCGCGTGAGATAAAGCCACCGTACGTTCACGGAGATAGTCAGCAACGAGGCGGAAAATGTTGGCGGGACATCCAATCTCCTTTAATCGGGATAAAATGGCGGGCCACCAAGCCTGATCAAATGCCGATTTGATATCTAATGAAATGGCTACGGTGGGTCGTTTTTCGCCTAAATTGTCTTTAATATAGGATATAGCGTCGTTCAGTGCATGAGTCGTCGAAGAATGTCGTCTGAATCCATATTGGAGTGGGTTAAGAGTTCCACTGGTGGCTGAATGGTGCAAAATTCGCTCCGTAAATAATTTTTCAAGAGATTTTCCAAAAACTGGTATGAGCCCAATGGGTCGATGAGATTTCAAAGATGAACGGTCCACGTTTCCTGATTTAGGGATGATTTTAAGTATGGCAAGTTTCCAAAATTTCGGGAAGTATCCTAGAGATAGACACCGATTAAATAGTCCTGTTATGAGGTTGGGAAAGTTTGCAGCGACTGAACGACAAATATCTGATGTTAAGCCATCGTGTCCCGGTGCCTTTTTTGGGGAGAAAGATTTTAGTACCTCTAGCACCTCCTCTACGGTAAAGTATGGATCATCGGGAGTCGTGGGAGGGGATCTACATAATGTTCTTTTAGCTGCCTGAGCGGGTGAATCCATATGAGGAGGGTCAGCTGGGTAAAAATGTTCTAAGAGGGCCTCAGCTGTCTCTTGACTACCAGCCGTATACCGCCCATAAGCAAGAACTGAGGACGGTGGCCTCCTAATAGTTCCGGTTCGGAGGATGGGGTTAGTTACTGTCCACACTTGCTCCAACGTCTGCGACTCGCAAAATTTTTTAAAGCCATTCGCAGATTCCTGGCGAATGGCTTCAACATACTGTTTTCTATTATCCTGTAAACGTTCTACTAAAGGGCTTAACTGTTCTATCGAAAACCCACGAGCCTTTGCCATGCTTACCTCTCGTTTTGAGTGGAGGAGATTTTCCTTGAGAATATCCAATCGAGGGCACCAGAATGGGGCACGAGGTTTTGGCGAAGGATCACCTCTACATTGTGGAAAAACTAAATCCGCAGCTTGGTGGATAGCCGATGTTATTTGCAAAACAAGCATTTCCAAATCGCGTTCAGACAAACTAGAAAAATCAATAGAGGCAAAATTGGCTTCATGAAAAGTCGTGGTGAGTTTATTTTTGAATTCTAACCAGTCACTCTGCTTATTGATATGGTATCGGCGAGTAGACTGTCTGGGAATTTGGCTGTGTGTGATTTGGGAGGCGAGTTCATACTCAATAGCGATGTGTTGAGTCGAGGGAATAGCAGACGAATTAGTATGCCAATTTGTAGTTCTACCAAACAGATCATCTGTAACAAAAGTGAGGTCAATAGCACTGGAACGAACAGCGCCGTGCCTAACCGTTTCAAAAGTAGAGTCTCCAGAATTACAACAGTAAAGCGCGTGCTCTACCATGAAATCATAAATAAAATCACCTCTTGCATTATGACGATTGGTTTTGTCCCAAGTAGGGTGCCACCCATTAAAATCGCCAGCGATAATACAACCACGCCCTTCAACATCATCCAAGAAAGAGGATAAGGAATTCAAAATCGGCGTTGGATCTATTACAGGTTGGATGTAAGTTGCCACAACATAAATTTTCTTTAGACCTAAAACG